AAACCTGTTGGCTCTCACAAGTTACCGAAAACCTTTAAAGTTCCATTTTCTGATCATAGGTAATTTTCACTTGCTCCTTGTTAGTTTTAGCATCAGCCTTTTAGAAGCTGAGGTCTTAATGTCAAAATTATAACTACTCTCAAGCAAGTAGTTTCACATATCAAATTGACTTCAACAATTTGAGATTTTGTACCTTGATTTTTAAGACTTGGATTTGCAAAGCAAACTTGATAAAAAAAATGTCCTTCCAAATTGGTCAAAAGGACTCCTGATGGGAATTTGAAAGGGGATAAATATTTATTTTATAATGGGCATGTATTTAGGTCTATGTTGAATCCCAGGTGAACAGAATCAAAATTGAAAACATTTTTGGATTTTCTCATGGACAGTTTTAGTCATTTAGCATCAATAATAATTTTGAAGAAATACACACACACATACACACACACACACACACACACACACACACACACACACACACACACGTCTGACATTGCATCTTTTTAAACTTATCTGAATTGACCGGTATCTACAACTTGGAAAAAAATGTCAAATTCTTGGGGAGAAAAAAAACCTCTGAACTTTTCTTTTCTAGGCTTCACCTATATCTAAGAAATGCTATCATTTAAACTCTAAAGGATATTTGTTTGTTTTAGTAGCATAGCAGAGAATTAATGTCATGGTGGAGGCAAGGGGGAGGGTCAACTCGCAATTTGACTTGAAGCTTGATAACTGTTTATTCAAATGTGTTCTACAGATTTAAGTATTCTTTAAGAGATGGAAAGAAAGACAGAAATGAGTGTGTGTGTGTGTGTGTGTGCGCGTGCGAGTGCGCCGTCGAATGCATATGGCTTTCAGAGAACTTAAGACACATGGAATAAAGTGCTTGGAAGTCTATTGAAATATTTACAAAACAAATCATTTACATTTAACATTTGTACATATAATACTCTAAGGCCCTCCAATAAGAGAACTGACTGTTAGCAATAAATATTTCAGCATCAAAATGGTTAATAGTGAGTATTATAGCTTCAAAAGAGCCTATTGGCTAACCCTAAAGGATGCCCTGCAGTTGTTGTTAAACTCATCAGATGAAACTAGCCTTCTCAGCTAGCCCTTAGATTTGTCTGCTAACAGTAAAAATCCTATAATAAATCGGTAACATATGTTGCCAGACAAGGATAAGTGATATAAATAAAGAGCCTAGGAGACCTAACCCAAGTACAATGTGAAAAGAATTTAACTTGCAATCTATTTGTTGACTAATTACCATTTGAAAAGTCATTTGAAAGTGTTAACTGTTATTTGCTTATATTCTTCCTCATGTTTCTCTTCTTCTCCTCTTCAGATTGCATTTTAACCAAAATATTCTTCGTGATTGCCTGCTTTGCGGCTTTGTGGTAAGTCCCAATTTTGCACAACCTTAAAGAAATGCCTAACATAACAGTTGCCAAAAGGGCTTCCGTGGCCTGATTTGGGGGTGTTCTGAAATATCCAGGGGTGTGGCTGTGAACAATGAAATAAAATGAAGGTGTTTCTTTTCAGCGGATGAGGAGGATGGTGTAGAATTGTGCATATGCAAACAAAGCTCCCATTAGGAAAAGCAGCCCTGGGATGGAAATGACAAATCTCAGAACCCATACAATCAATTATTTTCACTAGCACTTAAAATATAGAAAACAAAATCTGCTTGGGGAATTGACTGAATATTTTATTTCGCTTTTTTTATTGAGACATCCTTTGAAAAATGACATAATATAAGTAGTTTTACAAAGCAACAATATAATCAATCTTTAAACTAGAATATAAATCAAGGATTTCATTAACTGCTGGTAGCCAGTTTAAATTGTAGTCTTGTCCATAATGTCTATCTATCTATGTATGTCCAAGTTATATTAAAAACCTTTAAATGGCTTTGTAATATCAGCTACATCTAGCTATTATAATAATTAATGATACTGTTTTATAAATCAATATATGTATTCTTGATAAATTCATATCCAGTTAATGGTGTAATTTAAATAAAAAATTAATATAATAAAGGACATACAGAAATGGGCAGGAAATCTTTAAAGGTTAAGAGACAAATTTGTCTAAATTCATCTTTTTTCAAAACCTGTTTTGAGAAAGTTCCCCACTGTAAAATCGGTTGAGACTCACCTAACTTTTTAATGGTAATCTGACCATTTTTTTGATAGTATTACATTCGTAAGCTATTTCTTATTTTGCCCATAAAGTTTATAATAAATATTTAAAATGCTACTGGACCTTTTAATGACATTAATAGATTTTGTGTTTATTTAACATTCCTTAGAAAACTAAAGAAAACCATAGTAATTGTAATATATGAACACATAAATTACAAATGTCCTCTAGTTAAATTTTTAGTCAATTAACCTGATGTTCAACATTTTAAAAGTTGTATGCTTATTTTATTCATTTTAAAAGAGAGTGGGAGGACAGATTAATTCACTGTGTTTGAATTTATATGTTTGAGAGCCAAAAAAGAAAAAGGTTTTTCCCTTTATATCACCAAATTAATAGCTCAGAAATTTCAGAGCAAGAAATGCACAGAAGACCCTGAAATTGCCTTCTTTATTTCCACATTGCCAGTGAGTGGAAGAGTTGGCTCACCAAAAAAAGTCTGCCTGGTATTCTCTAAAAACCAACATCCATCCAATGTATTTTAAAGAATAACAGGATTTAGAAAAACAATTAAATGCTGCAAACGATCAAATGTGGTCTTAAATCTCTCCAAATAGCATCTCATTCTGTTTACAGGGAGACCATTTTACAAAAAATATCCTTCAAAATTATGCAAAACAGTAAAGCAAGCTGTCCACGCTGACATGATGCAGGAATGTTATTTTAATCCACTGAGATTTTCTGACATTTTTCTTAACATTGCTGTACCTTATTTAGAGTGGCAACAGAGACTTGTGCAGTTTCCTTTGACGCTGATGGGTAGTTCAAAATGTTACGGGGGCGGGCGGGGTGGGGAGAGAGATTTGCTGCCAGTCACTTCAGCAATTCAGCTACGGGAGCAATTACTATTTGTTAAAAGTTTACGTTTCTAAATGAAGCTAAAATTGTGAAGCGACTTCACCCGTTTACCCGGGCTGTGTTTGGAAGGGAGGAGGGAAAACAGCCAATTGTGACTACATGTTAAAGTGCACTCAAGTTACTGTAACCATTTAAAATCCATTGTGTTTTTAGATGAAACCAGCAGCAAAACCACTCCTAAGAGGCTTAATTTAGGTTTTATAGGACGAACATAAAAAATACCAGGTTATGGCAACACATTGAAATATGAGGTACATTTTAAATATCTCCATTTTAAAACGTATGTTTATTTTTCCTCCTGGGACCACTAACTTGGGTTTCTACAGACAAAGCAGGGACACGCTACATTCTTAAAAATTATCTGTGAAGGAGATCACATTCCAAGACATGTTGGAGCATTTTTATTACTGAAGATAACCTCTTAATTATGTCACTGCCTTCCACTTGTTAATCAGGGACATTCAACAGTTAACCATAAAGTGGGTGCCTTTAAAAGAATATATAGTTATCAGTGATTAGAAACATCAGGGTTTTTTTTTTTCTATCTTCATATTATTGCATTAATTAGTTCAGCCCTTCTATAAATTTATTTATCTGCTTTTAAAACATTACACGGCACTCACCTAAGGAAAGGGTCAAAATATATTGGATAATGTTGCTAATTGCTACAGCTGACATACTGTAGCCTGTTGTTGGTTTTTACCTCTGCTCCTATTTGAACCAGTTTTAGGTGATTTATTTACTTACTGAGAAGTCATGAGGGTCTGGACATGTGTTTTTCTGAAATCATGAAATGAGGTAAATGAAATAATTTTCCAGTGATGTTTGTCTAACCCCCTATGTAGTTCTTCCTGTCAACCAACCTGTGCTGTTAAAACCAATCAAATTATGCAATGGTGACTTCTTTGGAGGCCCTCCCAATAAGATAATGACTGACTCTTAGAGGGAAGGGCCCTAGGCAACAATGATGGCCCTTCACACTGGAGTTGGTCAATATCTGATTAGTAGGGACTAATAGACGTTAGTCTATTAGGAGTCAATATTTTACATTATATCATAGTTTTTAAAAGCTTTGGAGAACAACAAATGTTTGTTAAGATGATCTCTTTGGAATGCCTTCACAGGCATCTTCGGTTGAGAATTTTTCCAACACGTGGCAATGCCTGTTGTGGAAAGGGTAGAGTGATGACGGTTCTCAGATATGCAAGCATCTGATTGGTTAACGTCTACCTCTTTCAGGTATGAAAAGGCGTTTCTCCCATCTAGTCAAAAAGGTTACTGGACACAGGTACTGAATTTTAAAAATATGTTTATGTTTGAGCTCTGGCAAATAATGAGGCTATTTTTGGATTCTTCTGAAACCTTGTGATGATTGTTAATCCACACCTAGAAACACATTGAGGTTTTCTCTTCAAACAATGAAGTGCCTATATAGATTTGGGAAACAATCAGCACTCTGAACTATTAGGACAATTTTTTAAGCAATATAAAGTGGTAGGACTTGGAGAAATGATTTTATTGATATAATGAAGAATCCAGCCCCTTCCCCCCCAACATTAGGAGAGATCATTATGTTTCTGAATGTTTGTTTTACCTTTGTAAGATAAAAAAACCACACAAATAAAAAGGAAAGGCTGAAGTATAAGGATGAGTGTTGAAACTAATTTATTCCAAAACACTTACAGGCTTCCTTCCCCTTGTTATAATCATAGATGTTCACAATCATTGGATTTCTTTCATATTTCTCTATTAGTTTTACCAACCAAATGCAAATTGAAAAAAAAAAACAACCTTAAACCTCTCTCTCTCTCTCTCTCTCTCTCTCTCTCTCTGCCTGTTCTTTCTCTCTTTCCTTTTCTCCCTCCTCTATACCCACCTTTAAAGAGAACATAGGTCGTAATACTGATAAGAAATGTATTCCAATTTTACAACTCTCATACAAAGCCAGGCAATTTCTGAGCCAAACAAACAAAGGATGTGTAAGCGATTTCATTTATTTTGATAATCCTCCTCCAACACTGGAGCATTTTGCTGTCTTTGTCAAAGTGAATGACAACAATTTGGCCAACTCTCTCTGAGCTGCGCTCAACAGTGACAGGCAAATTATCAGAGGCCCTGCACTTCTTATTATCAGAGGAGAAGTCATCAGGAGGACGCATGGAGGATCCCTCTCCCTTGTCACTATTTGTCAGTGGGACAAGGGCCACTGCTATGGGTAGCTGACAGGTAATTTCAACAATAACAATTACTCCTATTACTGGTGTCATAAACAATTCGCCCAAGGCATGATAATAGCAAAGCTTTATAATTCAATGCCATATAAATAAATGCCAGCAGGTAACACGTAATTTAGCTCCAATCAAGCCTTCACCCTGGCATTAATATTGTTATTGCAAGAAAATGGAAAATTGAAAAAATTCAATATGTTAATGAATTAAGAGGGTTCAAGGGCTAGACAAGAGGGGAGAGGAAGGAGAGCCCAAATTATGATTGTTTCATATTCAGTGCTGGGATGGTAGTTGTTACAGCACTATAATTGCTTTTTGATACGAAGCGGGGGACATGGAGTGTTGCTATTTTACACTTCAGACCTGGTGAAAATGTGATGTAGAGTACCAAACCTGCCTTCTCCAATTTGTGTGGGATATATCTGGAGGTATGAGAACATGTGCATTCTGTAGCTCTTAATTGGATTTTTTTCTTTTCTTTTCTTTTTTCTTTTCTTTTCTTTCTTTCTTTCTTTTTTTTTTGTAATTCTTTAATGTGGAGTAGAACTCTTTTCTTCTAGGAAACATTTACTTCTGTCTAAGAAAGTCCCATCTGCACCTGCTACTGTCCTTTGCATTATGTCTTACATATCAGCAAGAACAAGAACAACAAAAAGAACTGTTCCTATTTAATGTGAAGGGAGAGACAAAAACCCTCTTCACTAACTAGGTTTCTACCTTTTGACAGTGGACCCCACCACACGGTCCTGGCCTCCCCAAGTGAAACTTCCCGATCAAACCAATTTGCAATTTTAGTATTTGTCCAGAAAGACAACGGGCCATCAGCCTGACAGCAGTAAAAGAATTTGAAAATCTCTAATTAGGAGAGCTGCAGAGCAATTAACGCATGTCAAATTTCACTTCATCAAGTGCCACTCTAATTTTCCCACTAAAAATTAATGGACTTTTTTTTTTGTATGTGTGTGTCCCCTTAAGGCAATGTTGATTCAAATCTGTTCAAGATGCAGTGTTGCACAGCTAAGCATCTTCTTGATTACAATCCGCCACACTTCTAACTGCTTTCATTCTCACTGCCACAGATACTTTGTCAACAGTCAAATTACACCATGCTGATAACAATGCATAATGGTGTTCCTCAGTGGAGTCCCCTGTCATGAAACAGTGTTTCATAAAAATGTGATGCTCTCTTCTCAAGGAAATGGAACTCTGGCTAAATAAGTTTGTGTGGCTTGGTCATTGATGCAGATTGACTTGTCGTGTGTGGGTTAATTCCGCCCCCCCCCAAAAAAGGGTGTAAGGTGTTTGTGTATTAAAATTCTGTGAATAATTTAGAAGGAGAATGGACCATGGAAAATATTTATATTGGAAGTTTTGCTTAAGCACTTTGTTTTGGGACATTTTCAAGAGCACTTTCTTGGTGAAATACAAGCATTTTTTTTTTACTCCTTCTTTACTTAAAATCTATAAACATATTGAATGGAAGCCTCTCTCTAACAGGCAGTATTTAGATTAAAAGAAAGGTTTGTTTAACTGCCATCTTTGCCAGAATTCTCAAAACATCACAGGACCCAGAAGATAAATGACTTTTTTTTTTGTTTGAGTTGCTTGTATTTTAGAAAATGAAGTTGGTTCATCTAAACTATGCTGTATCATAGTGGCTTGTTGAGGATCATTATGCCTGTATCATTAGCACTTTCCAAGAGTATTGTAAGCTGGAAAAAAAAAGAGGGAGAGAAAGAGAAATTGAGTGGTTAGAAAGGTAAAGGCATAACTTTCAAAGGCTTTTGAGATTATTCAGGTTTTTCTTTCAAATTTCTAAAATCAGAGAGGATCAAACTAAAAGAATGAAATTAAATAAAAGTTTTTTCTCTCTCTCCCTTCAATTTTTGTAGGTAGTAAAGAGAATGTACATGCCATGGATCAAAGCTTTATTTTATTCATTACAAATATGCATTTTATGGTATGTTCCTTTTTTAAATCATCACCATTATATAACCTTAAAATAAATTCATGGAATATAGACTTGATTTAAAAAAAATCTTCAAGTGGAACTCTTTTTTTTTACACACCAAAAGTTAGCTCAAAACTTAATCTTTAAATGGACCTTTAAAGGTTTGTATTCCTATTTATTCAATGTATTTTCTTTCCCTCCTGTCCCTGCCCCAGCATTTTCTTGAGTGGTCCAATTCAAACAAAGAAAAAAAAAAGACAACCCTTTTTCAGCTATCCAAATATTGTAGCATTCTCCCAAAGCTGTTAAGGAGGCCCACTAGAAGTTCTATGAATAGAAGAATGCAAATGGAAATTTATTTTCTTCCCAGATATGATCCTTTGAACTTTACAAATAGAACAATGATGGCTTTGGAGTTGTGATGTAGCTTGTTTGCCCATATAGGTGTCTTGATAAAATAACAAACAAACCCAAAAACAAGATCTCTGAGTCTTCCAAAATGATCTGGAATATTCCTATATTAAAACATCACAAAATATTAGAAAAGGAAATTTAAAGAGAGATTTGATTATATAATACAATCCAGCAGTAATCAATTTTACCCTCAATATCTTGCTTTTGTTTTCAAAATGCTAAATAAACAATACATAATGCATCCCTCATCAGCCAAAACCATGGAGGCTCTGTGCTCAAATAACAGGAAACATATTCAATTTTCCTAACAGAAGACAGTTCATTAAGCTGTGCCACATCAAATAAAACTTTAATTTCTCCAGCATCAGAGTCGCAATGAAAGCAATTGAAGAAGATGAGCCATATGGTACTTCTATCAGCAAACACATATTGCTCATTCCCCCAAAGTTTTCTAATTCTGCTCCCCAGACCTGTGTAATATAGATAATGTGCTCGGAGAGCAGCAACCATGAGCTATCTAGTGTACACTTCTAATACTGTATTTAATGGGAAATAATGAATCATAAAAGCCTAGAGAAGACGGCTTTTGCTAACCTAAATCTCAGCTGTAATTTCATTGTTCTGTGCCTAAGATGCTGTTTGCCCTTTCCAAACAACAGCAGTTGAACGTAATTATGCTGCTCCAAACCTGGGCTAGGAAAAAAAAAAAAAAAAAAAAACCTCCCCAGTATAACCAAGTTTCTATTAACCCTTAAAATTCTGAATTTAATGATGCTCTGATTCAGGCATTGACATAAACAGGTATGTGTTGTCTTAAAGTCCAAAGTTCATTCCTCACCCCCTGCATGGCCAGAGAGCATTTATGTCTGTTTCTTTTTTTTTAATTAATTAATTTATTTTTAGTTTTCCACATTCACTTCCACAAGAGTTTGAGTTCCAAATTTTCTTCCCATCTCGTCCCTCCCCCCACCCCAAGATGGCATGCATTCTGAATACCCCTTCTCCTAATCTGCCCTCCCTTATGCCTAAATTTCTAATCCTCCAATGCAACAGGAGTGGTATATTGAAATTGGAGAACATTGCCTTGTTATAAGCAAATAAAACATTAGTTTGAAGAAATGCATATAAAGTGTGAAGGCTATATACAGTTCTCATAAAACAAGACTCCACCCCAAATATCTACTACAAGGATGAAATAATTTAGGCAGGGGCCATGATAAAATCATTGTAATGATCAGTGTATATCTCAACTCGGAAAGCTAGAATTGTCTTAAAAATTTTAAATAGTCCTAAGTAGCTAAGCTGTGAGAAGCTAAAAATGCTGATACACTGAAAGGGTCTAATCTAGTGTTTCTCCATATGGGCTTTGGTTATCAGCCCATGATGCACGTGTTTAAATGTACCAATTTAAGTGTCATGACACAAGCCTACAACTGTTAAAGTTTCTGAGTTAGGTTTAATTCATCTTTGTAAGAAAAAAAAACAAAAACAAATGAGTCATTTGGCTGGTGATTTCTGTTTTCCGGATTTTAAAAAAAAGGCATTGAAATGGTATTTTTACAGATACAAGATGAGTTTAAAACACTGTCCAAGAAGTGTCACATATCGAAAACATATTTTAATGGTTTTGTTTGTTTGTTTGGGCATCATATGAACCAAGGACAATTAAATTAAAAAGAGACTTTTAAAAGTTAGAGATTGCCTTTTAAAAGCTTATTAAAATCAGCATGTTACATGTCTGTCTTTGAATTAGCTCTACTGACTTGATTGCCTTCATTAAAACGGGCTGTTTGGGTGCTGCTCCATGTTGGTTCCAGCCTTCGCTCAACGCTGATTCTGACTAGTTCTCGGCTTATATTTTCTCTCTTTAAAATCTTTAAAAAAAATGTAGTCTCTGGAAAACTCCCCCCTCCCCAACACTGTCCTCGCACAGAGAAATAGTACAGGGAAGGGGGGTTGGGGAAGGATGTCATTAACAATGCAAAGAAAGACCAACAGGTAAAAACGATGACAGCCAAACCGAAAACACTCACAAGAGGAAAAACACAAACACAACAAACAGCAATAACAACAACAAAAATTCCCCCAGCCCAGAAACTACACATTGATTATATTTCATGAATGCCTTAAAACAAATGTTTGAACAGTTTTCTGAGACAGTGCAGAAAACCCTCTGCATGCTCCAATGGGTTACAATGACAATGGTCTATTGCAATGTAAAACAAACCCGAGGATAAAAAGGTACTTTTTGTTACCATTTTATCAAAGCTCTTCATCTTCGAGCCCGAGCTGCAGGCAGCATTTTGCTGGAATTGCAGATATTTCTCTGTCCAAGCTCCTTTGTTTGTGCATCTCATTTGCATCTATTTATCTCCAGCTGAGGGTGCTTTCAGCTCATTAAGGCCTCCCCTCACATTATTTCATAAGCCAGCTGCTAAGAGGGATTTCACCTGTGGTGACTGAGAAAAGAGGGGTGAAAAACCAAATTCTTCATAAAAAGGAAATCTTCTGACTCTCTTCCCCTATAAATGGGCACCATTTGTGTTAAACAGCCTCTTGTCATGATAGATGCCTCCAAGGGTCAGGGGTTAAAGTTGATTTGAAGGTCAGCAGTAAAACAACAGACAAACCAG